AAATTTATTTTAACTTAACCAAACAAAAAATTCAAAATAAAATAAAAAGTTAATATTTTTCTATTTTTTTCCCTTTGTTTCCCTCAAATCTCACATTTCTTCTATTTTCCTCAAGTAGTTCAATTTAATATCAAAACTATCCTCAAAACACAAATTGGTGGATGGAACGTAAATTCACTGTGCCATTGGAAAATGAAAACCACCCGAAAAACCTGCGCTATTAGAAAATGAAAAAAACCCAAAAACTAGTTGCTGGAGAATTCTCCAACCCATTTCTAATCCCTTTTTAATTAATTTTCCTCACAAAAAATAAAATTATATTATATCAACGAGTTATTGATTCGAGTGGAAAGAATTTAATTTTTTTTAAATAAAATTTTAAGTTTAAATTTTATAAATGAAGAAACAAATATTGTGAGAATTTCATTTTTAATAAGATCTGACACGATTCAATTCTGAATTCATTAACAACCAATGTCATTGTCAAATACCAAAAAATTAATAAAAAAAATTATATTCATTTGAATTGCGGCTTGTGCCCATATCACCATTCTTTAAAAATGGCCAAAACTCAAATGCCACACGTCAGTATGTGCGTATAGAAATTCTAGGACTTCTTGAACTTTTTTTTTTTTTTTTTTATCACAATCTTCATAAACCCCACAGACTGATTACTTACTTCTTTAGAAACTGGACCACGGTATGTATATTTAATTTAAAATTTTCAATTATTCGTATTATACCTTAGGCGGAGAATTGTATAAACAAATAACGTATAAATGTTGTATGTATAAATAAATGGGGACACGTGTCGTACATCAAGTGTGTAGGTATAGACGTGACAAAATTTGCTTATGACTGTCGGCATGTTGGGTCAACGTACCCAAGTTTTCTTCTTGATTTAATTAAAAATCAGTCATTTATGTCATAAAATATATTGATCCCTAAGAAATAATTCAATATTAAGCTTAATTTATTTAATAACACATCCACTCTAATAATTTAATAATTTATTATTATGCATTTACTAAAACATATAAATATTATAAATAAAAGTTGTATAAATATATTATTCATATATTATTATCTGTTTTTTTTTTTTTAACATGAGGGAATATGGGGGAGGGGATTTACAAGGATTAAAACCAAGGTTTTAGCCTTGATATATATGCACCCTATTTAGTGCAATAAGTACTGCAGATGCATATATTAGTATCTGTTTAATAAAAATAACAGACTAAAAAGATATATGAAAATAGTGTTTATTCGTTTTACCTTTTAAAGATTACGAGAAAAATAATCTTAAAATTACATCATTTCAATAAATCTCTATTGAAAAGACTTAAATATCCTATTTTTAAAGCATGAATTAGAGTATTTTTTGTCATTCCATGTAATACTTTATTAAAACTACGTAGTTTTAGAATACTTTTCCTCTTAATCTTTAAGAGGTAAAGTGGATAATCACTAATTTCAAAATATATTATTTATTAAAGCCACCTAAATTTTAAGAGTCAGAATATTTTTTTATTAAAATAATATAATTTTATGATAAAATCCTCTTTTTTTTATGTGGAATAAGGTGTTTGGAGGAATTTTATTCTAGGGTTACTTCTAAACGTCTTTTAAATTTGAAAATGTTTCGAGTTGTCATTTTCTTTTAGGTTAAACTTTATTTTGGTCTCTTTAGTTTTTTTTTTTAAATTAGTCTTTTTATTTGAAAAAGTTTCTTTTCGGTCCCTAAAATTTAAAATTCAATCTTTTTTTAGTTCTTATGTTACTTTTCACACATGTGATATGTTAAATCACAAAAAATTTTAAATAGAGAGACTAAAAAAGGATTAAAAAAGTCAATTTTAGTCCTTCTACCTAAAAAAAGTCTTTTTTTAATCTATCAACTTAAAAAAAAAAAAAAAAAAAAAAAAAAAAAA